CGCCCGCCCAACTTCCTCCCCAGCGCTCCCGCCGCGCCTGCGCAGCCGCGCCCGGGGCCGGGGGGCTCCGCTGGTACCGGCACTGGGGGTTGTTATTTAGTATTGTGATTTTGAGATGTCATGAGCCACGTTCCTAATTCTGCGCTGGCCAGCATGTTTGGGTCTTGACTCCAGTCTGGGGGACATGGGTGTTTCCTGCGGAAAGTGTCCGGGAATGGCCACGAAGCGGGGAATAATGGCACGGGGTGACATGTAACGCAAAGTGCAACATCCTACGTGTCTGCAGGGACGGGCGGGAACAGCATGTGCTGTGAGCTGCTGTGTCTTTAGTTGGGAGTCACTGGAGAGGTGAGGGGATGTTGGGTCGTTCCTGAGCGCTTGTGGTGTAGTCGTGAGAGGATGTGAGGACCTTGGGGCCTTTCAAGTAGCTGCTTCCCACTGGCACGAGGAAGTCTTAATTCCACCACACAGAACCAGGGTGAGACATGGAAGGTGATCTGGAGGGTCTGGTCACTCGCACTGGAGAAGGTGAACGTGCAGCACCAGGGGTACGAGGTGGAGCTGCCGAGATGATCAGAACAGCAGGGGCAGGCCCAGGAGGTGTGTGGCCCTGGGGGTGCTGGGGGGGCCTTCGGTGGCAGCACTGAAGGAAATTACAAGGTTAGCAGAACCATGGTTTACAGTTTATGAAAAGATGTTTCTGACGTGGTGACCTGGCACAGTCAGGTTTCCTTGGATGCTGCGCTGGGCGCTGCGCGTGCCTGTGGCTGGTCCCTGCAGCACCGAGACCCGGCTGCTGCCAGGCCCCGTTTGGTGGGGATTTAGGTCTGTGCCTTTAGGAGGACATTCCAATGTTGTAGAAAATTCTATACAATCCAAATATTTTTAGAAAAGGGGAGAAAACATGAAGAGGAAGTACTCCAGGGCAGATCCCTCAGAGCTGCAGGGCTATGATTGAGCAATGCCCCCAGTTACTTAGGTGATGTATGTGTTGAAGGTGTGGTTGAGTCTGTCTGAAGTTAGCTCCAAGCTTTCTGCCTCAGCACAGAAATTATTTTTATATTTTCAGAAATTGAAAGAAGAACAATAAATGAAAATGAAGGATTTTAATGGAGTAACTTGTCTTGTAACAGATTGTCAAGAAACTCGCTCTTAAAGAATGATCCGACCAAAAAGAAAATTAGAAAGCCCACCTGGCCTTTACTGTGATCAGCTGCAGGGACCAACATGTCATTAAGTCAAATGAGACCTCGAACATCGCAGGTGAGAGTTTTTGTACTTTTCCATTGAGGTTTTTTAGATCTCACAAATAAAAGTAAAAAATAGTAAGTGACACTGCACTGTTTCTAGGAGACCTGAGAGGCAAAAAAACATGTTCTTTTAACATAGTATATATACAGTAAGCATTATTTTCTAGTTTTTATTTAGTAACTCAACAACTACAGAGCTATTTAATATAGCTTATTTGAATGACTTGTAGTTACAGAGCAGTGTATTGTCCTTGTCAATGCCATCTGATTTGCACTAAAAATAATAGAAGCTAACAGTCCCACAGCTACCACAGGTTTGAACACAATCTGAATGAACCTTGCTCAGGGCAAGCTTAGTTATTCTTTTCACAGACATTGCCAGGGACATTTCTGTAGCTAGTATTATTAACAACTGTCAGAAACATTGAATTTTTTCTCTTGCTAGCAAGGTCAAGTTGTGGTGCTGTTTGGATCAAGCTTTCAGGGCTTTGCATTTTTTATGAGATTAACAAAGGTAGGATTTCAGCCAAAGTATTCTTGTGACCGTGACACACTCCAGAGTATGAATTGTTTTTGGTAAGCTCTGTCAATTGCAGTCACAGTGGCAAAGAGCAGTAGAACAGGCTCTCTTTTCTCTCATTTCCATTGTTGAGCTTGTCTGTTGTGACCTATTTTGATGCTGCCAGCTGGCATTTGATCACAAATTGCTCTGCTTATTGCTGATCTCACTATCTAGTCATCATTGTTAGATAGAGCCTCACTCTTACAGTCCATGTGCTTACATCAAAGAAAGCATTCCTTCCTCTAGAAACTGAAAGGCTGAAAGGCCACCAAAGCAAAACAAAGCCTATGGGAAGAGGGTTATAATATGGCTACATATAATATAGCTACCATAGTGATAATCTGTTCTTTATTTAGTTGGTGGAGCTCCATGTTTTTTATGTCCCAGAAGAATTGTGGAACTTCAAGCTGAATACAGTTCCTGTAGCTCTTAGTAGCAAATTCATCTCAGCTGGATTTATAAGGTGAGTATAGTCTTACGTACACAATAGGTCCTTTGCATTGTCGTTCCGTCGATTAGTTCAGCTGTTGCTTTACAGAGCACAGTTATGTCTGTCAGAAGAGATTTATTCTCTAATTTCTGGAGGGCAGGTGGTGCCCTTGCCTACTGTTCATGTTTATTTGGACTGTGTCATGTTTAGCTCTATTGAAGCCCTTCATGTAGACGGTTGAAGTGCACTTCTGGAGCACTGCTAGTATTTCTGCAGAATAATATATGCTGTAAAATCACAGTATTTTTGTCTCCTTGAGTCTGATTATAAAAATTTTGCATACTTTTCAGCAAGAGGC